CACACAGCTTCCAGGGATAACGTTGGAAGTTCTATAGCAAGGTTCGTGCCATTTTGAGGCAATTTTGCCCAACCATGGATCGGGGAAATGAGGACGGGACTGAGGCCCCTGTGGATGCCGAGGGGCCAGCTCGAAAGATAACGCTTATAAAGAAGAAGTATCGGAGGCTGTGCTGAAATGGCGAATGGCGCTCCTACCACTTGCTCGGTTGACCGCGTCGACACGGGATTCGAACCCAGGCCAACCAAGCCTTCTACCCTCCGGGGACGGTAAATTGGTACCAGATTCGTCTGGGAGGATAAAACACTGACTTGTACATCGGCTGGCCCCGCAAGTCATTGTATAGGCCACATCGCATTCAGTAAGCCACTACGATTCTGAATGGAAGTAGAATGCGTGCCGCATCCCTTCATTCCAGCACTTTATCCTTTTTATCGTTCCTCGAGGATGGAATGGAACCGCTTCATTGCATAACCCTCCTCTTTCACGTGTTCCCGGCTAGTTTTATGGGAAAACCTGGAGGCACGGAAGCTGGGGGAAGACACATGGGAAGTCGCTGTACTGGAAGTAGGTACGGTGCTTGTATTCAGGTGACGATCTCTGGGCGCAATGGCGTACCGAGCAACCGGACGCAGAAATCACCCAACTTACGGAGTACGCAACTCAGAGCTAGAGGGGGAATGCTCCAAGAAGTGGTTCTGAGGAAGTTGACTGTGAACAGTGGTTCAAATTGAGGACAGCTTGTGCCCAACGCAGCGCGTGGACGGTACAAAAACGTCGGCGCACGGTCAGTCCTGTCTACGCAGATTTTAACTGGCCGCCACCACCGCGCTCACACGCGGACACTCATTGTTCGATCGAGAGATGGCTTGTGAAGGGAATCACGAACTTACCTATGATTCACCCGGCCTCAAAAGGGAGTTGTCATTGTAACGCGAGCTTGATAAAAAAACACTGAGTTGGGTGTGTAAAGCACTAACCGCCGGCATAAAAGCTTCCTTTGAAAGAGGGCGAACCTATCTGACTGCAGCTTTGGACGTAGTTAGGCCAGTGAAATTTTGTGACCTTGAAATTTTATGAATGGGTTCCCCTTTTCTTATCCTTCTTCAAAATTACAGCGTGTCGCGATCTTCTGAATCCACTAACACGAAGGTCAGATTGTCCATATAGATGGTATCTTTGCCAAAATCCCATCTACTACGACCTCATGACACAACAGTGTCCGTGGACATGCAAGAGATGTCCTGACCAGAGCACACCCGCTCGACCTGTCGTCACTCCTGCCACACCTCCTGTGACACCTGCAGGTATGGCTTTGTGAGTCTGTTGAGGAACATTTGCAAATCTGTTTGAAGATCACTTTTCAGTCACTTACAAAATACATATAAGTATAGAAGAAATGAATAAAGGCGAATATTGTGGCTGTTTTCAGCATGTGAAGATGCGGTGAACCCGAAAACAAAGACTTCGAACTGCGAGAATATATCTTACCTCTGTCAAGATCCGGATTATCGCGAGATCATGAAAGAGAAATGCCCGAGAACTTGCGGACACTGCCCTCCTTGACTTTTTTAAAAAATGTTTCAAGTGAATAATGATTTAATAAAATGATTTTTACTGATGGTGAATAGTTTGGATGTCGTCTCGGACAAAAGACGAAAAGAAAGAAAAGGAAAGAAGAATTGGCTGACTGGCAAATTGGCAAATTTGGCTGAACATCTTTACTTAGGGACAGTTTAACCTACTCAACACGATTACCACATCCGTTTGGCCCGAAACCGCCTTGCCACAGGCGCCGCCGACGACGGGATATGCTGAAACATCAAAATTCGTGAAGACCACCACAGGAGTAGTTTCACTTTCTCAGCACGAATATCACATCCCTTTGGCATGAGACCGTTTGCCGCCGGCGTTCCAAGCGACGGCACCCTGGTAAGAGTGTAATAAAACTTGTATTGTTCAGTGACTGTTAATATAAGAAACAAGGGTAATCAACCCAAATACTTCTCCTTTTTTAACTCGGCACCCCGTGCCTGTTTTGATCCCGGTGCGTCCAGGCTCCATGTAGTTTGTTCCGAGCGGTGTGCTAGAACGGTCTCGAAACACGGCGAGTTATGTTTCAGTGGGTAGGATCAAATATAGTTGTAAGTTAATTGGAGATCATGATACGTGGACTGGAGCTCCGCCAAGATGGCCACATCTTATTTCTCAATGTCGGTGATTTCTGATCACTGGCTGGGTAATAGGTTATGGGTAATGTTCTGATCACGGACGGTATATGGAGTTGTGCCATGGTCTTTGCCCGATTTGTGCTCAAATCCAAGTTTTTCTATTCCAAGCGTGGTTATCGTCAAACGATCATCATAGAGTGGGACGGAGGCTTCAAAACACGAGTTTTCAACGTTACTAGCCGTACTATGAGTCCACGGCTCAATGCATCGTAAAGGCGGCATAAGCTGAGGAAGTCGGCCCTACTCCACGTGTCCAGCCAACTCGGATAGATACACCCTGCCCCATGAGTTGCGATTGCTAGTTCTACTATGGCAGTTTTGGAGCAGGCATCGCAGCACACCGCTCCTAATTGCTGGGTCCACAATGGAAACAACACGCAATACAAAAGTGTTTCTTTTGCGTATATTCCCTTTGATACTGGATACATTTTTGAGTTTATGAGGGCCTGGAAAACGCATTACCTTAAAAGGAAGATTTCAGATGCTTGAAAAGAGAGGCAGTCAGGGAAACCGGAGGGGGGGGATCAACATATCTCGCACGTGGCATGGCCGAAGGCAAAGGTTTGACTGGCCTTCTGCTCCTCATGTCTTGCTTAGGCAGCTCGTTGTTGAGACAGGATGGGGCTCTGAGCATGTTGCAATCTGTGAATGGAAAGGTACTGTCCTCATCATTGCAGACCGGTGGGGCGGGTGAGCCGCGCTGCGTGTGACTCGGCTGTGACGCGGCAGCGATGACAGTCGCGTCACAGCCGAGTCACACGCGGCGCGGCTCACCCGCCCCACCGGTCTGCAATGATGAGCACCATACTTTTCTTCCGACCGGTGCTTAGTACAGACGTTGGGCGCTCCAGTGTACTTCGCCAGCTCCCTGACAGTACTTCACAGCTCTAATGGTGATCCAGTTTTGGGAAGTTTAGTTGTATAAATCCCGCCACAGATCACCCGAATGTGCCCACCAGTTTGTTTGCTGCAACTTCGGCCTAACAGAAATGTTGCTTTTTCCAGCACAGCCCCTGCCATAATAGGCGACAGTTGTCACGAAGAATCCACTTCTCATGACACGTCACAATGGGCTTCTGAAAAAGATTATTCCTATTGTTCAGAATTGATGATGATGATTCCGCTCATTCTCACTGGTTTCGCACCTATTTTTTGAGCTTTTTCGACTTTCCAATTTCCCGAAATGCTTCGAAAAAGTCGATATTTTTACATCAGGACCTCTAGCAAGTGATTATGCCACTTGCACATACAGGGGGGCAAAAAAAGTCACTTCGACCGAGTCACATATCAGCAAAGTTTTCGCAGCCCAGACAGAGGACGTGGATACGAGTACCAGGGCGGAAGATACCCAAGATGTTCCTCTATAAGCAGGAGCTGGCTCTCGCCCATCACCTTCATGTACACCAAAATATGAAGTCATCTCCAGTCGCAGCCTGACTGGAGAAGACCTTTGGAATTCATGTCACCTCCAAACAGCTGCGAAACTTCTAGTGTGGAGTCACCCATGGCTACCTGGGGACCAGTACTCTCGATCTGGATGACCTCCAACATCGAGCAGCTCCGACAACGTCGCCACGGTCTAGGACATCATCTTCACCGCAGTCGCCAAGGCGCGGGTTGATGGTATGGACCGGACGTACCTGGAATGGAAAGACCAATATTTTCTTCGTGGACCCCGGACTGAAGGTGAGCGCTGGCGGTTACATTGGCAACTCGTGAAGAATATCCTCCTCACATGTGGTCGCCCGTACCTTCTTGGAAACTTTGACTGCTACAGGCTAATTGAGTGCCACCACATGAAATCGAAGGGCGTTGGAGAAACACTCGCCTACTTGGAATGGAAGGGGGCTGAGTACCTAAAGAAGATGGAATATCCAAGTAGGTCACCTGACCTGAATCCCCTCAAGTTACCTGTTCCGGCGGAGTTCAATAGGGTGGTCTACGGTGGCGGAGAAATCGACTATCTCGCTGATCTCAGGCACCACATCGCGGTCGCGTGCCAGAATCTCTCGATGGCGCTCCTCCAGAAGGCTGTGGCGGAGTGTCATGATAGTATTTAATATGCTCTTTAATATGGTGGTAGAATGTCCGATAAGAATTTAATAAAGTGTACTTATAGCGCCTCGAAAGTCAATGAAGCAAAGTGACTTTTTTTGCCCCCCCCCCTGTATATGTTACTCCATCGAAGCTTTCGTCTTTGACAGAAGGACCTCTGCGGTCTTTCTCATGTTGGAGTACAAACTGGTCGTTTCGGACAAGCAAGGAATTTGACATCTTTCTCCCCTGAGAGCTGTTCTGCAGACAAACGGACACAAAAGTGACGCCATGGAATAAGAGACCCGCTGCTCCATGATGACACCGAAATGGAAGCAAATAGCGAGAAATAGAGGCGACCATTTTTTTATCTGCAATATTGCTAGCACAGCTGCTTTTCCTTCTAGATTTGCTTTAAAAGTGAATGACGACTGGTTACGCTGCAGCTCTACCATGTCATTTCAATTAGTGCTTGCTCTGTTCGTGATGCTCTCACATATCGAAGCACAATTGAAGTACTGCCGAGTAGCATCCACCGGACGTGAGTAGATAATCATAGACTCTTTCCAAACTTCAACTGGCTCTTTAGCTTATTTGATGAGCTCTGGCTGTTCTTCATCCTGAAGGGTTGTGTAGCTTTACTTACTCCCACACTGCTAGGAGCTGGGATTGCTCTATTCTGCTCATGAGAAGAATTCCAGGTTCTTCTGTACTCCTTCAGCATTCTGACGCACTGTGTACATCTTCGTCGTGTCCCTCGTCTTGTGTAAAACAGCTCAGCTCCAAACCTAAGCAGCTGGCCCTGTGAAGGGGTTGCTCGCACGCTACCTCCCTACGACCCCTTCACAGGGTCTTAGAGAATTATTGAGAATCGCCACACATAATATAATAAACCCGATGATACACC